CAATAATTTTTCGTTATAAATTTGTTTAACTGCTTTGCATTTGCACTGATCCTTTTTTATCGTGATCTTAAAAGGGTTGTAAACTGTTTCTGGTCACACATAGAGTTTCATTCCTTATCTGTTTAGAGAAAAATATTTTTTATACAATATTTATATAATCCATCATTCCTAATTTGGTTACCTTTTCAAATGGGGTGTGTGATCTACAACATTTTACATTTTTGCCTCACTGACAACAATATTGTTCTCTTGCTACAGACTAAGCTGCAGGAATTTCTGGGTCGACGCGAGCTGGATAAACATCTTGATGCTGATGAAGCAATTGTTCTAGGAGCCTCACTTCATGCTGCTAACCTGAGTGACGGGATTAAGTTGAACCGTAAGTTGGGAATGATTGATGGCTCTACTTATGCTTTGGTACTTGAGATAGATGGTCCAGGTTATGTCAAGGATGAAAGCATTGATCAAACTTTGGTGCCAAGAATGAAGAAAATGCCAATAAAGGTTAGTAAAGCTGTTTTCCTTTTGTCTTCAAATTGTGGGTGAACTCTTCATCATGTATCTGGAAGGATACATCTAAAATAGCTCGATACCCATTTGTTATCTACAGATGTTTAGGTCCATCAGACATACCAAGGACTTTGATATCTCTCTCAACTATGACAAAGCTTATGAACTGCCTCCAGGCATTCCATCACATAAGTTTGCAGAGTATTCCGTATCAGGGCTGACAGATGCCAGTGAAAAGTAAGTGACCATACTTCTTTGTGTATTTTCAACTTCAAGTCTTGATCATAAACTACTAAATTACTAAACATTCTTAATGTAATTCATCCTTTTAAACATATATGTTATTGCCATGCCGATATCATTCAAATTAAAATGCTCAATCTTATCATGAATTAATTGATATTGAACAATGTAATTTTGTTGCTATTCTGTTATTTGTACCCACTGTATGCTTAATTTTATTGCATAAACTAAACATATGCCTTTCTTCAACCAGGTATGCACACCGTAATTTATCTGCACCCATCAAAGCAAATCTACATTTTTCTTTGAGTAGAAGTGGAATTATTGCTCTTGATAGAGCAGAAGCAGTAATTGAGATAACTGAATGGGTTGAAGTTCCAAAGAAGATATTGACTCTAGAGAGTAACATCACCAATCAGAATTCATCTTCCGAAGTAGGAGCAGCTAATAGCACAACAGATAGTAAGGAAAATTTGAGTTCTGGCAGTGATACTAATTCCAGCACTTCCACTGATGAGAGTAATGCTCAAGAAATTATTACAGAGAAGGTGCTAAAGAAAAGAACATTTAGGGTTCCATTGAAGGTAAGCGTTGCTCTGGTAATTCGGTGGGAATATTGGCACAGCATAGTTTAATTCGAATGTCAATTATTTATATAGGTTGTGGAAAAAACGACTGGTGCTGGAACAATTCTTTCGAAGGAGTTGTATTCTGAAGCAAAAAATAGGTTAGAGGCACTCGATAAGAAGGATGCTGAAAGGAGGAAAACTGCTGAACTTAAGAATAACCTAGAGTCATACACATATTCTATGAAGGAGAAGGTATATTTTTTTTATGCTTTCTTTGTTGACACTTTGCTAAGATGGTTTGGTTTTTAAATTTTCTTTTTAGCATTAATGTACATCATGTATTTTTGTCATCCTACCCCCAGATAATGGGTGATCCCTACTTTGTATATGTATATTAAATTTTAGAGTATTGATTTTTCACTGAAACTCAATGCTACCTGATAATCTTGTTATCTAGATAAACTTGAAAATGCAACAAAGGTTTACTCTTTATTACACATCTTATTTGTCTTCCTGCTTGCTGACATTTAATATATAACAGCTGGAAGAAAGCACAGATATTTTGACTGTCTCAACCGAACAGGAGAGGGAATCCTTTGCGGAGAAACTTAGTGAGGTTGTTTAAAGCTTATCTTGCTCTTAGTCTCAGTTGACGATTAAGTCTTCCGCTGAAGTAGTGATTAGTGAAATTGTTTGTATGACAATTGCAGGTGCAGGATTGGTTATATATGGATGGTGAAGATGCTCAAGCTAATGAATTCAAAGAGCGCCTTGATCAACTTAAGGCCATTGGTGACCCAATTCTTTTCAGGTAACTAACTGTTTATACCCTTTAGTTCATATGAATCAATGACTGAGATTGTATTGTTTTCCCATTACCCAGATTGAGTGAATTAAAAGCCCGACCAGCGGCCTGTGAAAATGCTCGATTGTATCTTGATGAGCTGCAAAAGGTATCAACAAGAGAACCTAATAGCGATTTTTAATTAAAATAGTTATGTTGTTTAGTGCATCTGAAGAGATACTTTCGGCATAAGAAACAGAATAGTTCAATCTATGCATCATATAATACTCTGTTGGGTTTGTACACTTTGAACACAAGGCACTTACTAATGTTTAAAGCAGAAACCTTGGGAAGAATGGTGCAACAAACAGAAAAGCTTTGCCTCAGTTGCACAACTTGACACTGCGACAATTTAAACAAATTTTCTTTTCTTGATTTTTTTTTTTGCTTTCTTTTTGGGACAGTCCTACTTGATTCTCTCAGGCAATAATTGTTCTAAAGTAATAAGTACAGGTCATGCTTCTCCTGCACAGCTGCTACATAAAAAGGGCGTACCCAGTGTAGAGAGCTCCCGCTCTGTGCGGGGTCTGGGGAAGGGTGTCAGTGGCAAGCCTTACCCTCGCCTGTGCAATGCGAGGAGACCGCGACTCTACCGCTTGCACGGCTGCTACATGCTTGTCTTATATTGCAAAATTAATTGATCAATAATTTCGTGGAAGCAGGAAAAAGGCTAAATTTACTATACACTGAATTCCACAGCAGGGGACAAAACCGTTGTTTTACATCCATTTTATCCATGTTGTGAACTGCTCAGTATAACTGTTCGACCGATGTAATGCATGGTTGATGTGTTATTCTGTTCTAATTCAGTGCACGTTTGTTTTTTCAGATTGTCAAGAACTGGGACACAAACAAACCATGGCTCCCCAAAAAGAGAGTAGATGAGGTAAACCGGTGAGCTTAATGAAGTTGACTTTGTGATTATGTGTAATGCTCATTTTGTTGGTCGTGTAATGCTCTGGTTCTAGGTTGTAAGTGAAGCAGAGAAAGTGAAAGCTTGGTTGGAGGAGAATGAAAACCTGCAGAAAAAGTATACCTTTCGAGTCAGCTTGCTTTTTTTTATTGTCTTGTAAAAGGTGGCTAACTCCCGTTGAAAATTTTGCAGTACCCCTATCTATAGCCCACCAGTTTTCACATCTGAAGAAGTTTATGAGAAAGTTCTGGACTTGCAAGATAAGGTTAGTAATTTGGTGGAGCGCCCTATAAAAAGTTATGCATACTACTCATGGTAGTAAGTATAATGTGTGCTCTTTCATTGTGCAGGTCTCAAGTGTCAATAGGATTCCAAAACCAAAACCCAAGGTTGAGAAGAAAACAGCAAAGGAGGAAGAACCTGCTAGCAAGGAGAAAACCACCTCTTCGGAATCTGCACCCAACGAGGGTGAATACACCGAAACGTCTCAGGAATCTAAGGCTCAAGAAGAGGATCAGTCTGCATCAGCCAACACTAGCGATTCAGAACCTGAATCTCATGACGAGTTGTGAGTACCAGAATCCATAGAAACAGGTCGGAAAGATGCATTACGCATATACTACAAGAAGGCAGTTTGAGGATAAATTTTGGTTGCTCAAATTTTCCCATTTTTTATTTGACGACCAAAAGATGAGGCTACGTAGGGTGTCGAGGAACATTAGATGCTGTAGAGCCAAAAAGATTTCATCGGTAGTTTCTGATCATGGTGTAAGTTATTCGCCTCAAAGGCGTAGTTCAGGATCTAGAATCGCATTGTTGTACTGAACCCGTTTGAATTTTTTTTTAATGAGGAATGCTATATATATATTTTACGCCAATAGAGCATTGTGATTCTTCTTTAAATGAGGAATACTATATAGATTTTTACGTCAATACTTGCTATGTTTAATAATGATATATAATCAGATGTATTTCCGTCGGTGGAGGAATAGAGTTTAACGATAATAACAGCCTCATAGGCATAGATTCAAACTCACGACCTTAAAAGCCCAAACAGTGCAAGGCTCCTCTGCCTGATGACAAATGTTTTATATTCTTGCGATTGCTGTAGCAAGTAGGCAAACAGGATAGACACTGCGAGTACACCACCATTAGGCTACCACCAGCGACGGTTATTCTTGCCGTTGCAAGTACATCAACCGCTCAGGAACTTGTGATTGTAAAACAAACTGAGTAGACACTGTAAGTACATCAACATTAGGCTATCTGCAACGGTTATGCTTGCGGTCTGAGCTTTGCAGCCAGTACACTTGTGATTGTAAAACAAACAGAATAGACACTGCGAGTACATTGACATTAGGCTGTCAGCGACGGTTATGCTTGCGGTCTGCCTCTAGCTTTGCACTAGTACAGAAAAAATCTCTGAGTATCAAGTCCGGTGGTGCGAGAAGTAGGTGCAGATAATCACATGCTCTTCTTGTATTTTAACTTCCTTCCTGTCAAGGCAACGCAGCTATCTTCAACTTCAATGTTACTTGGATTCAAGCCAAGCAAAATGCTAGATCATAGTACGAACCAATGATTAAAAAAAAATCAAATGACAAACAAGACTACACTGTTAAAGTTCAATGTTTTCCTTAGTCTACCTGAAAGAGTAGGTACTATGTGGTCAAGCCTTTTTAAAGAGTAAAATTCATGAGCAGCCCCTAAAATTTCACAGTGGTATCATTCGGGGTCCCCATTTTGATACTTGGGTCTCCACACTTGTCCCAAGCGCTAGCATTGAACCAAGCGTGGCATGTTGACTGTGTGTCGACATAGACTTGACATGTGGACCCAACATGCCACATCAACACATAGTCAGCACGCCATGTCACCGCATGAGCGGGTCACAGCCTGTTTGGACCAGTGCAACAAAATATCAAAATTTAAGAGTTGGAGACCTAGATGATACCACCATACAAGTTCAGAGACTTAACATTAAAATTCGAAAGTTGGGACTCATGACACCATTTGTGCAAGTTTAGAAACCGCTCATACCTTTTTAAAATGAGTCTGCCCCACAACACTTCTACTTGTAGTAGTCTATAACATCATTTAGCACCATTTTCATCCTTGCCACTTTGATTCATGATGTTGACTTTTTTTTAAGGTAATTGGTAAAAGTTCAATCCAGCATTAGGTACTATGCCTCTTTTGGAACAGAAAAAGGAGTATACAACAGAAGCAGGGAAACAAAACACATAAACGAATTAGAGAATCATACCATGGTGGGAAGATATGAATTATGTTTCCAACCAGAAGATCCACATTGTCACATATCTTTGGACTGAAGATAATGGTCCTCCTAGTTCTGCTTTCATCTATGGTGCTGTCAGCAGAGGCATTACTTATAGCAGTATCCTGCATGAACATAAGTTCCATGAAAACATCACTGTTGCAGAATGCTGGTAAAACATCGTTTATGTTCACATAAGAGTCAGTTCATTAGAAATTTGTCTAATGGCTACAACAAAGGATACCTTTTGTCTAGTCATCTAGATGCAGCAGAATAACTTTCAATTTTAGTTTTGTAGCATTGCATAATTGGTCAATTCAGACATTACTTTTCTAAAGAGCATACTGTTCTGGATAAGAAAGTGACAGACAATCATCTTGAAACATTTTTTTCCCAAAATGTTTGTTCAACTTAGCAGCATGAGAAGCAAAATGTTATTTAATTTAAGAAGATTACTGCCACATGAGTAGATAGGAGTTTTTCGAAGATGGAGGCATGGAGCACAGACATTGCTCTTTTCCTGGAACATGCAGCTGCAGACTGTTAGCTTTCCTTCCAATGACCTTGACATGATCTGAACAGTAGTGCCCTTTAAATCACCTACGAATTTGAACTGTCAATATCTCTGAAATCCATGTATACAAACAGACTATGCCTAATCCAAAGCATATAAGTGGTACCAACTACCAACTGCTACTAACAGCACCACCTGAATAACCTTGCTCTCTGCTATACCGTCTCAAGAACTCCGCATGCCAATCTTTCTCCATCTGCATAATCTGTTGCATTCTTCCATAGTTACCAGCTCTGCCACAGAGCAAGACCAATAAATAATCAGAATTCCAGTGCAAATGGTCATTTCAATAAGATTTGGCAAGAATTCAAGATTATTATACCCTGTTGATCTCATTGAATTCATGGCACCATCCATGTTTGTTGGATTGAAAACTTCTTGGAATAGGTCAGCCATAGTTTGCTGGTTCTCATCTTTGTTCACCAAACTCAAGTGGTTTTGAGTAGCATCCTATTCCAGGATAAAAGAAAAATATGTTGAGTATCTCAATTTTCAAATGAACAACGACTAATATAAAGTGTTTATGTTACCATACTTCCTCCTCGCTAGATGTTCCGTCAATTACATGCTCCAAGGGGTCCTCACTGTCAATACTCCTGTCTCCTAGAATAGCTAATGTTTTCTTCTCGGAAGAAAGGAGTTTTGGCTTCCAATGTTTAGTTCTGGCGTGTTGATGTGACTGCAATAAAATTTACAATATTCAGAGGCAAGCTAATTCTTGTCTGAGAACCCCAAATCATGAAATAACACCACAAGAAACACACCAAAGATGCTGTCTCGACATAAGAGCCACTTCTACCCTGTAGATCTTCTAGAAGTTCTGCAACTGAAAGATTTGCTTTCTTGATCGAGCAGGGAAACTCTGATGGCAGATCTTCAGTTTGTCCCTTGACATTTTCGAACGGTTCATCCATCAAAGCTTGTGAAGCTTTAGTTGGTGGCACTCTGGATGAAAGTTCCTGCTCCCTGATTGATATGCTTGGAGCATGTTGGTGCAACTAGATTAAAATATTCAGAAGCAACATAAGTGTGTGTCAGAACTCCAAAAAATGAAAGAAGAATGCAAGACAATACACACCAAAGATGGTGTCCTGACAACAGAACCACTCCTACGCTGTAAATTATCTAGCAGCTCAGAAACAGAAGTATTTTCTTTCTTGGTTGGAAGGGCAAACTCTGGTGCCAAATCTTCAGTTTGTTCCTCAACATTTTCCAACCGTTCAGCCACCATGGTTTGTGAAGCTCTAGTTGATGGCACTGCAGAGGTAACTTCTTGCCCCCCAGTGCACAAGTTATCAGTCTTAACATCTAATGGAACAAAATCATATCCTCGTAATGAGAATCTAGGCTTCTTTACACTTTTGCTCCCTGTAGTGGGGAAACAGAGGACACACGTTATATTATCCAACTGGTATAGTTTAACAAAACAAAGTAATCCTTTGCTCACAACAATATCTCTATAAGAGAAGATGCTGGAAATGAGATAACATACTTCTGCTTGTTCCAGAAGAAAGGAATGAGGTGCTAATAGGATATTTGCATACACTCGCTAACTCATCATCTTCTTCTAGAACTTCATCCCACCCATCTGATTTTCCATGGTCTTCCATTTTGTTGCTCTACTCTCTTTGTCTGGAAGCTGGACATGCTAATGAGGGTCTTGTTGATGCTAGAACATCCTGTTGATACACACAGAGAGACGATGGCACATGTTCAACAAGCATCTGTATGACTCTACAAGGCGCGCATACCTCCTACTATTATAACAGCCTACAACAATAAATAGAACAAAGTGAAGTCAATAGTCCTGGGGATATGCAGGGTCCAGAAACCCCCAAAAAATCGAATAAGAGCAATTCCATACCAATAGTGCTCCCCTAGAAGTTGTTTTATGGAAGCACCTTAAAACTTTTCCAGCACTTTATGGGGCCACTGTGTTAGTAGATTACCAATGACCTCTTCCCCTATATTTAATTTCTTTTATTTCCATTCCCTTGTGCTCAATTTTCACATCATAACAATTCAAAGTTTATGTTTCTACTGCACAGAATTCAACAACATCCGAATTCATAATTTTTAAGTCAAATTCAAACATAGCACAGGATTCCAATGCACTAAATAATCTACAGAATAAATGCTTCGTGGTCATTTGGCAAACTCCACTTTTTTCATACAATTGGAAAGTCTACCAAGGGGAAGATAGGACAAAAAGACGGTGTATTGCAACTGATTGCAGGTCTGGAACTAGGAGTAGCAAGCTAATGCTGGAACTCTGCTAGTTTGTGAGTTTTCGTGAATGCTTCGATCTTTTGTCAGTTGGACAGTCGCTGCCTCCGCAGGTAACTCTGCTAGTTTGCGAAACCACCAATGTCTGTGACATGCAGTAGCGGATCCAGAAACAGACCAAGGGGAGGCTAAATAATATAAGCCTAGAAATCATAGTTACAGTAATGGAAAGGCTGGCAATACAGTTTCATGATAGATACAGAGATGCACATACCTCCTATAATCAGGAACTGCGCTCAGTCATTCCGTCGAGCATATTGTAAGCACCTGCCAACGCGATCACTACGCCCTCATGCCGTGTGCTCACCGCCCGCCGTGCAAGCAAGGCAACCTGCGCCCACGTTACAACAACTCAACAAGTAAGTAAGGCTTTCTAGCTGTGGGGCTTGATGCCAGCAAGCAAGATGACCGCACACGTTTTTACCTCAGCAAAGTAAGCGCCTGCAGCCTGCGCCCTGCAGCTGCAGCCTGCAGGGGTCGCCGCCTCGCCGGGGTCGGAGCTCGCCAACGCCAAGTCGCCTGCAGCCCTGCGCCTTGCTGCCCTGCTCCGAGTGACGGAGCCGGAACTCTGGGAGTCCGTCGGACGCCGCAACGCCGACGCGGACGGGAACAGGAGGGGGCGCGGCTTCGTGTCTGGTGACGGGCTGGTTCAGACTTCAGAGGAGCTGTGAGTTGGGCCGTGAGGACCCGCTCCCTACACATTTGACCCACGAGTGGAATATGAAACTACTTTTTCCGAAACCACTACTTTTGCGTATTATATATATTTTTTTCCAGTTAAGTGTGACGTTCAGGACCGGCGTGCACCGCATCAGAATGCAGTAACTAGCGCCCAGACGTCCCACGGATGTCCGGACGCAGCTCCGTCACACCCTCTCCTGTCCCCCACCCTCGTGTAAGACTATCTTCGACGACCGTAATCTAAAATAACGCTATAGATAAATAGTTCAATATCTATTTTTATCTTCTCCATCAATAAAATCTAAAAAACAACACTTACTGTAAATGGGTCTTCAAAAGAGAGGATACTCAGATTTATGTTATGTCTCTCTTGACACCTAAAATAAGTCTTCGATATTATGTTGGAGGCTATAGGTATTGTGTGGAAGACCTATTTTGGGTTTGGATTCCGCAATGGATCTCCTATTAGAGACAACCTAAGGTAGTGTTTAGTTGAAAGGCGTTTGGTTGTGTGGTGGGATGGTCTTGTCTCTATTTTGTAGGACGGGACGTTTTTTCTGTTTGATTGAGTAGAGATAGGACCAATCCGTTTTTTGTTTGGTTTGGAGACATTAAAAGTGGGATAAATGAATGAAAGGTGGAGCCTATTTGTTAGCTTTTTTTCTTTTTCTTTTTCTTTTTTTTTCTCTCCTTATCCCTTCCTTTCCACGCAACCTCCCGCGACCGTATTTTTTGTTTTTAGCTTTTTTTTGAAAAAATTCACAAATATGTCTCTGGAGGTATGATTTCAAAATCTGTACCCTTGGCTCGGCGCCATCGATGGTGGCGCCGAGCTTACACGTCTCGGCGCCATAGATTTTGGCGCCTAGGTCTTAGGCTCGACGCAGACATAGCGGTGACTTGACAGGCACCTTGGCGCCGTGGTTCTTGGCGTCGAGCTTGGCGCCGTGATTATTGGCGTCAAGATCTATGACGCCGAGGTGGTGTTTTAACCCGACGTCCAACCTTTCTGCCCGAACCTTCTTCCTCTTTTTTCTCTTCCCTCTCGGGTTTTTTCTCTTCCCACTTCGTCCTACCTCACGAATCGGCATATTGGACCTTGAAAACTTTAATTTGATCCGTAGTTTTTTTCTCTTCCCACTTCTTCCCTAGTTTTTTTTAAATCAATTCGATATATATTAGTCGGATTTTTCAACTTAAGAATCATCATTACTTAGGGTTTCATGTAATTTTAATATTTATATTATACAACCGTAGGATGCCAAGGCGTGGAAAAGCTAACAAACCAATGTAACCATAGTGCACGTTGTTATGATATGGGTTCATTGTTGTGTATCAAATGGGAAACCCTAGGTGTAGGGTTTAATGTTAATTACTTTCGGTTCTTAAAACGAAAATGGCTAAATTATAGTTATGGCCGGATGACCGAAAATGCCTTCGATCCATTGCCTCTGCCTAGTGGTGTTCTAGTGCCCATGTGCTTTTACGACGATCCTTGCAAGGTAGCCAAGTCCGATAAAGAGGTCACGTATAGATAGAGGTATTATATATGTTCCAATTTTGCGTTTAAGCCTACACTTCATTAGCGCCGCATTAACAAGATGGTAAGAAATTGATGTTTGTGTCATATGACATCTTGCATGAATTTTTTATTTTGTAACAATTGTATTTTTTGCAGAGACCCTCCACCGCTCTGTGATTTTGAGCAGTGGATCGACACTGAAATCAAGCTTGAAGACAACGAATGGATGCAGAAACTATTGCGGTGGGAGACAGAGGACAAAGAGATGATGAAGAAGAGATGCGGAGAGGAGGCTACAAAAAGGAGCACAAGGAAGAGAAGGAAAGAAGGTGTGTTGCTGCGTATAGGGAGGAGAGGGAGAAGAAGCTTGAGCGTGCACACCAAGCGAAAGCAGCGATGGAGGAGAATCCCGATGCCCTGTGGAAGGGAAAGTGGTCTCGTTGCACTCAGTAGTCTTCATTACTTGCTAGTTCTATGGTTTATTCATGAACAATGTTGTCTACTGTTGAACTTTTTATTGTGTTGTCATGTAATGCACTTTAAGTATGGACATGCTTAGGTCATGTACTACGTTATTTAGTTTGTCGGCACGTACTTCTAGTATTATTGTGTTGTTTAATATGTCATAGTATTGGACTTTTTATTATATAGTTGTTTTCATTATTTGTGGTCATAATATTCAGTTTAATCTTGGGGACGTAGTGAAATGTGATCACGTGCTGCAAACAAAACCTAACGAAGTAGGGCATTATATAATTCAACACATAAAACACATGAAATGACATGTGAGAATATGTACCGAACTAGCGTACAGAGGTCCTGAACTAAACCTAACATGCCTTAGGTAATTAAAGCAAACAACAAGCACAAGAAATGCCATATGAGAACATGTACCAAACAAGGGTACAAATTTCTTTGACTAAACCTAACATGCCTTAGGTAATTAAACCAAACAACAAACACATGGATGTGCCATGTGAATAAGATAGGGTCGTCCTAGTAGTGTAGCCACAAGCAAATTGTGTTGCACCTTCTCCACAATAGCCTCCCATTGTTGATGGTGGTGGTGGCGGGGGTGACGGTGGAGGCCTCTTGTTCTTGTGATTAGGGCAGGTGCAATATGGATCATTGTAGAGTGCCTTCTGTGAACTTGCACCATTGTTGTTATCGTCGTCTTCGTCTTCCTTGTACCCACTGCTAACTTCCCTTTGTAGATCAAAGATTTAGTCCTACAGGTAGTAGATGTACTAACGACGGATAAATTGGTCGAGGATCGAACCACCTAGTGAACCCATAGTTTTCTTCGAACTCGGAAGACTACAATAAGTATGTCCTGTGAGTTTTAAGGGTATTCGAGAAACATATTTAACAAACGAAATATAATAGCAATTACCCATGCTCGTGGGCATTTGAAGAAGCGATGACCTCTGTTGATCCCCTCGGTGAACATCTGTACTAAGCAGTCCTCACCATGCATGCATTTTGGCCAATCTTCCTTCCTGTTATCGTATTCTCTAAGAGGTGACTCTTTAGTGAAATCACTCTTGCTCTCGGGGGAAACTGATACACTGGTTTCTCAAAGAAATCAGGCCCAATAGACCCCTCCCACACAATGGGAGTTCCCTTCGTCCCCCCCTTTCCTCTCCCACTCCGAAACCCTTTCCTCTAAATGACCCTTCAGACATTTCTACTCCAATGAAACCGAATACTAGTTTGGTTTTCCTTTTGGTTAGCAATACATCCTAGAACGCATATATATATGCGGAGACAGGTTTGATAATCGTTATATTGTGCTGTAAATGCTCCTAAAAAGTCTACTCAGAATCAAGAGCCATTGCCATCTCATATGGCTCTAAATCATTCATAATTTCAACACTATTGGAGCCACATAATACATCTCCACAGTGCACTTGCGCAGCAACATGGGCACATCCATATTATCAGGAATGTCTCCTGCAACATAAGTAGAAAAATAAGGAAAGAATGAAAAAAATTAGATGTAAGTAAGGAGGTAAGCTTCCAATAATCATGCGGATAAGACACTTACTCGGATGATTCTATGTCAAAGGAATCTCATGAGGAGAATCTACCACAACATCATGAGTCTGACAAGCATCTCCA